CTGTATGGGCCGATAGGGCGACCGTAGGCGCTGTCCGTCGCAAACTGTTACAAGGCCAACGACTTGCACTGATATTCTTGTGTAAGGCATATAGGACGGTTAGCACTGAGGCTTTGCCGGTGTTGGCGGGTGTGCTTCCGGTCGATCTCGAGGTACAGAGACGTGCAGCCATGTACTATTCAAGACAACAAAACATGGAATGCGATTTTTTGGGCGCGCGGGATCGCGGTAAAATTACAAGATTGCTTCAACAGCAGCCCGATGTCTATAATGACCTCATAGACGAATGGCAACAACGCTGGGATGAATCATCTAAGGGGCGCCATCTTCACCAATTCTTTCCATCTGTTCGCGAACGGTTGTCGAGGATATGGCTTGAGGTGGATCACTGTGTCGCTCAATTTCTTACGGGTCATGGTAACTTTAAGAGCAAGCTTTATTCATTTAAATTAGTCGAGTCACCATTGTGTCAATGCTCAACACCTAACTCTCACTATGAACAGTCTGCTCATCATATCCTCTGGGAATGTAGTCTTTGGTATAATGAACGTAATATAATGCTGAATAGCTTGCAGGTGACATCTGGGGCGGTATACTATGGGGATCTTGTGTCAACCAAGGTGAATTTCCGTGCGTTTAGGCGGTTCTGCCATACATATTATAAAAATCAAACATAGCTCACGTAGGACCCGTAATATTTGTGGCCGTGGTGCTTCCCTGTTTAAAAGGGTGTATGCCCATTTACTTAATTTTGTCTCCCGCTTTGCTAAGGAGGGAAGTGGATTTACTGTATTTCCAACTCCTCCAATTTTCTTCTGATTAATTTCGTTGCGGGTTCCAAGACAGTTTAATTTCTTCCTGGGACTTCCCGAGTGTCATAACTCGGTGTGTTCGTGGGTCACTGCTGTGGATCCTGGTGTACAGGAGTTACAGTGGTGGGCGTGTGGGTGGGATTAGTCCCATTTACTAACATCTTTATGTTTTGGCCTACTACGTTTAGGGTTTATTTCAAGTTTTCAAGTTTTCATCCTACACGACACCCACGGGATAAATAGGGGTAGTAACACACCATATTCTTAATCCGTCCCTACACGGATGTGACAATAACGTTGTGTGTTTTAGGTTCGATCCCCACATAGTTCAACACTTTGTGAGATCCACAATTTGTTGTTCTGAGTGGATATTCTTTGTGACCATTTGTAATGCGGCAGTTGTCTTTTATAAAAAAAAAAAAAATTAGCAGGATAATTCCAATCAGCCTAGAAAAACACAAATGCTATTTTTTATATTCGAAAAATTATTGTCAAATCATCATATTTTATGCAGAAAAACAATACCCGCACTATGAAGATATCCTGTGACGTGAGACTTTACAAACATTCCTTTAAACCAATTCAAAGAGTACCCAGACTCAGAAGAACAATTTGTACTTCACACAAAATGTTGTCCCATGCGTGGATCGAACCCATATCAATTAGCGCAGAGCATTGTTAGTAAATTGTATTTAAAGGTTTATCCAAGAGTTAACACGTTACGTTAATACAGTCTGTAAATGCGAGTCAAAGTCTTCTGTGTACAACCAAACGACACGAAAAGTGAATTTTTAAAATTTGCGAATAAAATTTTACAATCATTTCGTTGCTATCAATTGACAAGCCAGATTGTTCAGAAATAAACGGCTTAAAGTTAATACTACAGTGAGGTGTGCTTCGTGGAATTTTTTTAACACACACAAACTAACGCAGTATTTGTATGATACCTATCTGATTACCTACTATTTTTCTTTGGTACGGTTATAAATTTCTATTTCTTATACAAAATCTTTTTTTTTGGTATTGGGCATCGGTTTCCGCATTTAGACTCAATAGTGGTCCTTAATGCGTCGAGGACTGGTTAGCTAGGTGAGCCAACCAAGCTTCTTCCAGAAGCGCAGAAGCCTCCTGGGGCGTTCACATGCTTCTAGGAGGGATTTTGTATCAGGAATGATACTTGCCCGTTGTGTGTATATAATATACCTACCCTGGAATACGAGGGAGTGGTTGTTGCCCTGGAATAACAATAACCACTCCCTCGCATTCATGGACTACGTGGGCGGCCGTTTCTTTTGCGTCCAGACATCCCCTGCACTGTGGACTGTCCGTCGCATTGATGATGAATAGGTGTCGGTTCAGGGCTAGGTGTCTTGTAATAGTCAGTAGTGTAATAGTAATTTTCAGACAGTTCATTATAGATGTTGTATAAAAGTGAGGGATCGCACTCCAAACTATGGGATCAATTAGTGGAATACGAACCACTAATAGCAGCCCCATGCGATAGGATATCACCATATCTGAACAAAAAAATACCAGATTCAGATACAAGAAAATGACCGAGATCAATCTGGCATTAACGAAGTCCGAATATACACGGACGGTTTTAGAACCGTCGGTTTTAGTCTTAGGACTAGGTCAGGAACTGGAGCCGAAGTTTTCTCGCAAGACCTAAATATGAATATGTCACTAGCATTGAGCCAATACAGTTCCATATTCCAATGGTAATGTGTGGCAATAACTTACGCCGCCACAACTTACATGTCCAGGGGGCATAAGACTATAAAATCCGAATACTGTCAGACAGCATGGCCGTCCTAAAGGCACTAGAGGGTCATCCTAGAGGCACCCTTAAAAGAGGGTACAAGTTTGTAAGGGGAATTATTTTTCTTTAACTTATCGATTCTAAACTCTCAGTATAATTACAATCTTTAAAACATAATCTTTTTTCAAACATAATTATCATTATGTTATATTAATTATACATTTTTTTTACTTTTCAAAACGTAGGTATGTTTGTTATTAAATCATGAAAAAACGTGTTTCTGGACCTTGAAGAGATTTCGCACATAGATTGATTACAGTCTAGAATAGCACAGAGGCTAATATTTATCCCAGCGTAAATTTATTGACCAAATTGACATTTACGCGAGCAAAGCCGTGGGCAATAGCTAGTTGTATTAATATGAGAGGAGAAGCACTCTTTGTAAGCATTTTTAGCAAACTCTTACAAACAGAAATGTTGATTTTGGGATACTCACGGATTATATATATATAATAAGAGTAGAAAGCCAAAGTTTCTTAACAATATGTGATATAGGGTAAAAAAATAGAAACATAAAGCTTTATGGATTTAGTAAACATTTTGAACTGTCATAAAAGTTACATGACTGAATGACTGAATATTATACACATTTTTAAATAGATATGTACATACGTACAGATGAGTGTAAACTGCGTGTTTTTCACTTTACATAATTTGACGGAATCCTAAAACACAATTTGTATGGATACCTTTAAAACAATCACTCAAGTACATAAGTAGATTTCTGTATTTTCTTATCATTTTAAAATATCAGCATTATCATGTTAATCAATTCTTTTGAAGTATTTGAACGACAACACTCGTTCACTACCATCAAATAACATTAAACGCGTAACAACAGTTACAAATTTATAATGAAAATTCTGATTTTTCTCTTAATAGCGTGTTTATTTCTCTGTGAGTTATGTGAAGGAAAAGTTTTCACAAGATGCCAGTTATCTAGTGAGCTACAGAAAACAAAATTGATACAGAAATCGTTTCTTGGGAGCTGTAAGTTATTAAATATTTATTTCTGTATGTATTCTTATTTGTCGTGACAAGGAGTGAGAATAGTGGTTCATGTATGTTTGTAAAGTCTCTTTGCAACATAGGATATTTATTCCTAATGCGGGATTCCTAATACTTTGATTATAAAATAAAACATCTTAACCTGTATTTTATGTAATGATGGTTTACTCCTATTATGCTCCTATGAAATATAAATGATAATATGGAAAGGGAAAGGTATTTGAGATAGAAAGGCATTAAAAGAAAAAGTTTATTGCACATACGGATGAATTGACCATGAATTGCCGAAAGTAGTAACAGTGGATGAAAAGTTGAGAAGCAACAGGTTTTACTGGTATGGGCATTGATGCGTAGAGATAATGTGTGTAAACGGTTATAAGAGAAGAGGACAACCAAAGAAAAGATGGATGGACCGCGCGAAAAGGCTATGACTAGAAATTGAGTAAGCAATGAACGGACTAGTGATAGAAGAAATTAGAACCAAATAAGTTAAGGAAAAGTGTAAGAAGATGATGCAGTCGTCTGCGGTACCTGGCCCGTTCCCGGGCCTGGCGGGCCGGGAGAGTTCTATACCTCTCCCGGTCCCGCTCCGCCAACTCCTTCGCAAGCTTAACTTACCCGCAGAAGGAGACGGCGGAGTTCCACGCACTTTCCCTTTCCCGGTGATCACCTGCGTCAGCCGGTATGAGAGGGTTCCGTGACGCCTCTCGAGCCAATCCTCCATAATGGGTCTTACCGCCGCAATAACGGCGTGCCCGGCGCTCGGTTGCCCAAGTCCTTCCTTCCATGGACTGTCTTTCGTGGAAGGAACGACTGTCGTGTCTGTGTACTTTATCTATGACATGTATGTATTTAGTAATATATAAGTATGTTTATAAGTGGGTAGACCGGGCCTCCGGAAGTCCCACACACGTCCTCTGTATGGTGCGAAAAGCATAGAAAAAAAAGCATTAAAAAAAAGGAGTCCGGTTATTATATTTTTTTGTGTGGAGACCCCTCGGGCCGTCACCACCCCAGCAGTCTAGTTACCATAGGACAGGCTCTACCTACTTCGGGATCAGACAGCCGTGTGACAGATGTGTGAGATTATTTTTATTTTATCATTTTTATCATAAGATATGTATAGGTATAATACGATCGAAATCGCAAGAGGAAAAAAGGTTATCAATCATTCTAACACCGCAAAAACATACGGAATATCTACGCACTCAAAGTTATATAGTATAATCAGCTGACATTGACATTCAAACGGGCTATAGAGTTATAGAAAAATAACTCTTAAATCATTGTGTTAGGGTTAAAATGATCTGTATAGTGTAATTACTTAATGTAACATATTCATAAACACAGCTTCAGGCATGTGGCTCACACGTGTTGTGCTAGTACTAGTTGTAAGTTATTATTGTGTGTGCAGTGTTTACGGCAAGAAATACGAGACTAGATGCAAGTTGGTGAGAGAGTTGTTGAGAGTTAGCGTTCCTAATGATTTGTTTCTCGGACAATGTAAGTTTTTAACTTAAATGCGATTGAGCGTCACAGAAAAATCTACGCCTGTGTGTGTTAATTTGAGAAATATTGATTGCCATAAACGGCCTTCTAAAAATTCCAAGATAATCTATATATAAATTATGTATTATTATATCACAACTAATTCACACTGATTCCATATAAAACAAACTACATTTATAATTTGATCGGATTAGACCTATTTCTTAGTCTTCCATGGATTCACCTTGCGGGTTTTTTCTTGCGGGGTGCTGGGTCCATCGCGTGATAGATCGGGGGTAACACATTAGACTGCGACAGCGCCTGGGAATTGCCACCCAGAAGTAGGTTTCGGGAGTATTCCTTGTGACCCGACAGCGCTCACCTCCACTGTCTGCTGTGTTACCCCCTCTACCTAACCATATTTAATACGAGCCTAACAATGCCGCTTGGGATTAACCCAGAGTTGTTTCATAATATTTGTTTAAAAATACAGATATCAACTTTGATAAGATTTTACTCAGAACTACATTACAAGGAAAATCATATTGTGATAAAAAAGTATTTTATTTTTTACTAATCTGATTATTTCTGGCAAGTTTCAATGACATATCACTATATCAAATGATACTTTAAGCAGTATGTCAGTATTCGTTGAAGATGTAGCGCTGCTCGATGCCAGAATTTATAACTTTAATAATACAGTAAGTCCTTAATAATACCCACATACAAATTTCACACGTATAAAGTAGAGGGCACCGCGAGAATTTAGTGTAGTAATATAATAGTAATAATGTGACTGAGTCTTGATTGATAAAGAAACTTTAAAACATCAATTAAAATAAAATAGTTTTTTTTAAATATAAACCCAATTCAATCTATGAAACTTTAGTTTAGAAAGAAGTTCTTGTGAGAACAAAATCACGTATAACTTTTATTATAAACTTATAGTAACATCCGGTAGTAATGTTCACCTTCCGTTAAAACCTGTAATATGTTAATTTTAATGGCAACATTGCATTACAATTTAAAATTAACTTAATCATTAGAGACGTTTAGTGTTATAGTTTTTCATAACTGTATAATTATATTATAGATTAAATGCAACAGTTAAAGCACGCAATACGCTGGAAGATGTTTTTCAAATTATTTTTGTGTTTACAATAATTTTGTGATATCACTGTACATATGTTGGGTTACCAAATCATCGTGACGAAAGGATAAGTTAGTAATGATCTAATGTCTTCACTGGTAAACACTTACTATCAGCACTGCAAGGTCTGCGTTTGTCACATTAATTGAGGAAAAAAATATATGTTTTTACAAACGTGCAGTTGGTATTTTATTTGTACAAGAAAACTTACGGCTAATAATTTTTATATGTAAAAAACTTAGTAGTTAAAGGCCAATTATAACTTTTCACACGTAACAGTACCATAATAACTATAAAACGTACACTAAAGGCAATATTAAATATATACGCTCACAGTTATATATCAGCGAAACAGAAGTTCAAATAATAATTTTAGTCCGGAATAAAAGCGAGTTTATTACTGTCAATTGACTGCACTGATGGCGGGGTCGTTTAAGCTGTCACCTCGCTCTCCTCGCTTTCTACTGCTTTGAGTGTTGTGGGGTCGGTCCCCACATAGAACAACACTTTGTGTGATCCATAAATTGCTGTTCTGAGTCTGGGTGTGCTTTGTGAAGTAACCCGCTACACAGGCTACATCCTTTGTGGGAGTTGTCTTTTAAAAAAAAAAGAAAAGAGAATCGTGTAGGAAGAGGTGCAAAAAATTTGAAGTTTATTAAAATGAAAGTTTCGCGACGCATTCAGAATACTGCGCGCAAAAAAAAAATGAACGCACGGCTAGTCCTCCAATAACTATAAATGGCAAACTGCTCAGGTGCCCCATGTCCGTGCCTCTGAGAGTACAATAGTTTTTTTTCAATTTATAGTATTTATAAATTACGATTTAGTTCTACATAAGTACTACCACAGTTCTATTATAGTTAAAATTTCTTCTTCTTGTGTTCTACCAAAATTAAAGTAAAAGTAATAATGGCTTAAGATTTGTCGACCTATACAAAGATCTTAAAAAAACATATAGTTGGAGTCCTACAAAGCCTGACACCAGTCTATCAACATAACTTCTATTTCAACCAGTGCTTGGGTTGTGGTGGCCTGCTGGCAGGCGTGCCATTTAAAAATCGAAGTTCAGTCGTTTAGTATTAGACTGAAAGTGGACCGCAAATTAGTTTTGAAAAGGCTCGTAGAAAGATGATGATGGCTGACTGACCAGGTATTCTTTTTTATAACATCTATGGTTTTAAGCATTTCTTAACTTTAAACAGCTATTTAATTACAGTCTTATTTCAGACCATTTTTAGCCGAAAGCTTTTAGCTCTCTAGAAAACGGGCATTCATCAAGCAAAGTCATTAACTGCTGTTTGATATTGTAAAAAATTACTTGTTCACTTTTATTGCCATTTTTATGCAGTGTTGTACACACACATAAATTGGACATAAACTTTATAAAGCGAAAGAGTTTGTTTATTTGTGTGGTTGAATACGCTATTCTTAACAACTACTGGTTTGAATTGAACCATTATTTAGTGTTGGATAGCCCATTTAACGAAGAAAGCTATGGCCTAATAGGAGCCCAGCGTCAAAGAAAAATATTGCAAAAAACGAGGAAAATTTATATGACGAATAGTACGAGTAATTGGTCAGCTAGTAAATAAATACAAAAACTCATTTATAATCACAGTCTTGTTTATAATAACTGATAATAATTGGAATGATGTTTTCAATTTATCTTACAAGTTTAATTATAGAGAACGGAAAATCCACCATACCTGATTAAACTACGGTGTAGACTAGTGTGAATCACATAAGTGTTTATTTACCTACATTAATTCCTACATAAATCTATTTATATACCTACATCTGTATGCAGTGACTAATATCGTGGGAACATTTATGTTGTTTTTCTACTGAGCAAAGTACGAATAGTTGTTCAAATAACATTTTAAACAAGTAAATTATTAGTAAATTATTTAAAAAAAAACCCGAGTACGTGAAAATGTGTAGCTACTTAAATTTTACAAACAAGCGATTTTAATTCTAATAATTTTAATACAACAGAGCGTGCATGATATATCAATTAAAATAAAATACATGCCTCATTGTGTAAATGTAATAATTGGCCGCATGGTGAAGAATTAAGAATGCGGAGGGTCACTATTTCTATCCCTTGGGTATCGTAAAAGCCGACTAAGGGAGCGAATAAAGTAGCACTGCAAAGAGAAAGAAAACTTGACCGGAAACTTTAGTGTGGAAGGCCCCTCGGACCGTCACCCCACCGGGGTTTGCGGCGGGGCGGATAAACCTATCTGGCTCGCGTGGTCTAGTAGGCCAAAACCACCTTTCTAAGGAGAGGCCTATGTTCAACAGTGGACTATGAAAGGCTGTTGATGTGATGTATGTCACAGCATCAACATAACATCAACAGCGTATACAGTGTACATGACATTAATTATACATAAATACATACACCTAGCTAGGGTGACCTAGCAAGTTGAAATTTATACATACACGATACTGAGGTTTATGGTCTCTATTAGGTGTATAAAAATTAAGGTCCTGTGTCAACACGATAAAAAGATATGGGCAAATTTTGATTTTAGCGAAAACTTGTAAGTACCAAAATTTACCTTAATATTCAACTTTTTTTATTTTTCAGAACTTTCTCTTTACTTGTGCTGTAAGACCTTAGTTCTAGGTAAACTGAAAGTACCCTATAGGTTTTGGGTCGAAACCCTATATGGTAGTTCCCGTTGACCTAGAATCACGAAATTTGACAAAAAGAAACGCCTTACAGCACAAATAAACGAATAATTCCAAAAAATAAAAAAAGTTGAAAATTAAGATACATTTTGGTACTTACAAATTTTCGCGAAAATCTGCGTAAAATCTGGGTTGGTACGGAATCCTCGGCGCACGAGTTTGCCTCGTACCTGACCTTTTTCTATTTTTTACAGTTATTGTGCCGTTGATAATTTTCTATTTCATAATTGCCATAGCCAAAAATAGTTGACTAACAAACTGGACTCAAGTAAGATGGTTGATATTAGTAAAATGAAATAAATTTGTAAAAAGAATAAAAAAACTGTCATAGACAGTGGAGTTTCACATGTGTTAAAACCCTTGAGTTCAACAATTAGCGTATAACCCTGTAGGGTACCTAGTCAAAAACTTGGCTTGCATTTTCGGGCTGTCTCCTTATCTAGTCGTGACTAATTATTGATATTCGGAGTTTGATTTGTACTTCGGAGATCGCTGAAGATAACGACCTGTATGAATGGGAATATGTTAATATTTTAAAGGGTATCTAGTCACACTTTGAATACCTTAAAAATTCAGAATTTCTTTTTTGAAAAAAAAAAACTATAATTGTTTTACTCAAAAACATCGGTGATTGAATACATCTATCGAAAACATACATTTTAACTTACTTGAGTCCAAGATTTTAGACCTTCATACCTTTCAACCTGTTGAGAGTTTACCTTCTTTGAGAAGTAAAACTATTACTTCTCAAAGAAGTTAAGACATTTAATTTGCAAAAACTGATAACAAGCAGCTGTAACGGTGTTTCTTCTCACCTAGATACTATGGAAACTTAGGATTCCTAACATATGGGTTCCTATTCTTTGTTAAACCAAAGCTCCCGACTATCAAATAGAAATCGGCAATTGTACTTTTAAAATTCATTCATTTTTAAATTCTAATATAAAGATTAATTAATTTAACTGTAATTCAAATTTTGTATTCTGTGATCTTATTCTATTTACAATCCCAAAGGAAAGAGACCATGACGGATACCAGATATTAGTTTCGATGAAACTTAGTAAGACACAAGAAAAAAATCTATTTCTATATAAATTTATATATATACAAATAAAGGAATAATATATATATAAATGTTAAGTTGGTTTGTGTACGCTTTAAATACTTCAAAAGTTGTGCACCGATTGAGCTTAAATATTGATTCGAAATACAACCCGATGCAAACATGGTTTTTATTTATTTTTTGCGTCAGGTTTGTGAATCATTTCTCGTCAATGCACGCAGCGAAGCGTGGCACGGTAGGGCTAATATTTTATAAAAAGTATTAGATGAAATATATATTCACTGATTTTTAGAAATCTGGAATCGTGGTTGGTATAGTTACAAGACCTACTTGTATTTAAATTTTAGTTGAACTCAGTATGAAACTTCTCATTACTGTACATAGCCTTGATTCTAAAGACTACACATTACAAGGGTATTTGCCAGGGTTGAGATGTTTCGCAATTTCAAGAGGACCTCTGGGATATTATATCTCGCTAATTGCTATCCGCATGTAAAATGTAGCCCTTGACCTTGAACTCTGTGTTTGGAGCGTTTTAGAAGCTGTAGTTAAACCCATTTTTCATTTGTTAAAGTTTAATGAATTTATTGTTTGTTTTTAATCGATTACAAAAAGGATGTTCTGTATTCGACCAGTTAAAGTATTATTTTTAAAGTAATGGACCATTTTAAATGAATAATTAACAAACATTTCAACAAGTTTTATAATAATATACATTTGCTTTTAAAAGTTTTAGTTGAAGTTGGTTAGTTTTTTTGTCTTTTTTTTATTTTATACTTGTTAAGAATGACTTGTAAGTTAGTTATAATATTTTAAATATTGCAACAAAAAGCAAAATCCTAGTTTATATTATATGTAGTAGTAGTTAATAAAAAAATACAGAATAGTCTAACAATACCTATTTATAAATAAATAATGTATAGTCAATTTCTTATGTTTCATCGCATTTTTTCTCCATGTCTGCGGTCCAAATACAGGTACACAGTTCGTTCTAAAAACATTCGTTGGAACATACTATTTCTTTGAGTTTTGCCTACTTATTAAATCGGATTTTCTGTAGGGAAACTAGTTGCGTACATTCAGTTTAGCAGCACGGGTCTTCTTTGCTTTATAAAATATATACAGCTTAACTTACAAATTATCTTTGTATCTTTATTTAGTAATAAATAAAATATAACATTATCTATTTTTTTTCCTGCAATACAATTATTCATATATTTCATAATTCCATCTTTGGGGAAATAAAGGCGTAATGTTCTGTGTCCTTATTGAACCGTAAAACTCAGTTGTCTTGAAATTTTGCAAAAACTTTTTTGTGTAAAGTTTTTTAATTTGTTTCAGGGGTCTGCCTAATAGAAAAAGTGAGCAATAGAAACACCAGTGCGTACACGGTCAGTCCCAGCGGAAAAAAGTTTTATGGCTTATACCAGGTTTGTTTTGAGAGCTGACATAATAAATTACTTGCAAGAAAAAACAGTACTGCTGATTGTTGTGAGAAAAGAAAGGTGCTTTTACTTGTTTGAAAATCACAAATAGAAGTTAATAAAACGTTAATAAGTTCGGTTTTAATTAGTCAGTAGTAGTGTAATCAGTAGGTTTTAATGTATTTAATTATTAATTAAAATTAGATAGAGCATTCTCTAGAAGTGGTTAGACGGCTCTGACGTATACACTTTGCTATATACTCGTAGGTTTACAGATATCAACACAAACAGTTAGTAAGTTGCAAAAAATTTGAACGCCTAGTTTATTCTGAAATACCAATAGCAACACACGGATCACATGTTACTAATAACCTTGCATTTTAACTGAAATAAAAAAAAAAATATTTTCTTATATGTCGTGATTTAATAATCACGACATATAAGAAAATAACAAATTTAATAATAAATAGAAGGAGGCTTCCATTCAGCAGTGGACGGCAATAGATACATTATTTTATATATTTACAAATATTTTATAATATTTTATCACGTCGGCTTAATGCAAAAAAAATTACACCTTACTTTCATATTTTTACAAAATAATTTTAAAAAAAACGTTATGAAATGTGTAAATGATAATATTTTCATTTTTCAGATACCAAGTAAATGGTGTAAACTACAGAAACCTGGCGGCGATTGCAACATAAAATGTGAAGGTAAATGTAGTATTTCAAACTATCTCAAAACTTTATTGTTCATTGATTTTGTTTCTGCTTCAATACTTTCCAATATTTTGTTTGCATTTGATTTCTCATCAAAATAATATTAAATGCACACAATGTAAGTAATATATATCTGTAATGCTCAAATTGCATTTCGTATTTGCTGCGAGAGCTTCCTGCAGGCAGTGTTGCACTACCAACTGTAGCATTTACAATGTAAATAATTGACCAACATAGTCACGAACTGTAAACGACATAGCAAGCAATCTGAGACGACAACCGTTTTATGTTCCACGTTTTACATCAACTTTATGACATGGTCAAGCGGTATCTATTGTATAACATTTTGGATATATGACTATATTTTGAATTACTATATATTCTCGATTTATAAAATATGTGAAAATAAAACGAGTTATATTCAGCTTTAGATGTAGAATACAAAGATGGAATTTAATGTTCAAATATCAGATAGTTTGTGAACAGGACTCAAGAGAATCGATAAAAAAAAATAAGTATCGTTGTAAGTATAAAAAAGTAAAGTTTGAGTGAGCCCCTTACTTACGAGGCTCCTCCCTTTCGTTGATATCTGTAAACCTTAAGGGTATGGATAAGTGTATTTGTAAATTATATTATCAGAGTCGAACAATCACTTCTGGGGAATCCTCTTATTTTGGTTTTCAAATTCATCTCGAATTATTATTTAATTCGCATTCAAGTATGATTTTGTCTAATATTTTCAAGATCTACCATCTATCATCATCTACTTGATGAAGATCCAGTAAATTTTTTAGTGTGTTTTTATATATTAACCCACAATTTACACAACATAAAAAAAGAGTTTATGCTGATCGATAAAAGTTATGGTAGAAATTTTTACTGTTAGGGTATCACAACCATGAAGCTTGCTGTGTTTATTACACACGGACTTTAGAACGTCATCACCTATAAAAGCCACGGCAACAAATTCCAGAGAGCCTTCTACTATGTTATTATTTCTCTTTCCTTCATAAGGTTTAAACAACAAAAGCTAAGGTATTTGCGTTACGTACGTAATTTTATCCAACATAAACTCTGGGTTATGAGCCACTTTTTAGATGTTGGCACACGTCAAAATAAAGTAATTTTGCTTATCATGTACGTATAAATCATTGTGTATGATACTGAAAACTTTCATTAAACTTGATGAATTAATGGCTGATAATGATTTTTAATATTCAGTCAAATCTTTTGGGGATTATTATTATATGGATATCCTACGACCGGAGCATGTGATAAAACGTGATGTATGTAATTCTATTAAAAGATTTTCTTTTCTTGATCAAAATCTGACAATAGCCGTCAATAAGTGTATGACATTTTCTAAGAACCCACAAACCTCATATCAGTGAATAAAACTTTTTCATTACACATCTAAAACTATTAAGCGGTATGTGTTCAGATTTAAATCTGTGGGCGATAGCATTCGTTTTTTAAAGAAGCTCAGTGAAAAAAACAATTTTATATTAGGTCTTATTGGTGTCGATACCATAGTGTTAAACCATATTCCCTTTAATTTTGGCCCAAGAGTTAGTTGATGTTGGTATTTATTTTAGCGCGTTATATTTTTTTAATTTTTCGTATCTGTAATAAATATAGCACGAAAATGTACTTGTCAGTTCTGTTCGGCTATCCAGCACTACTCAAACGTTCAAATATTTTATTAATATATTTTTCTATTTACAATAACAATCCATTAAATAAATTATCGTGTGATAATTTATTTAATGGATTGCCAAGTTTCCAAGTATTTAAAGACAGTGAATGGTACAGAAGAAAGTGAAATCTGTTTTCCTACATCTGTTACATTTAGCGCTTTACGCTAAAGTAAACTAAACTAAGATTCTAGAGGTGGCGAGAAAAATTATGGCTTATGGGAACGATGGCATAATATGAGCGATAACTTACCGAAACTCGATAGTAAGAGCCGCGTTATCTTTGTACCACTGAAGTGGAAATATTAAAGTAGGAAAGTATAAATCAGGATTCTGTAGTGGCGGGCAACTTTAGCTACATTTTTACGAGCGTTACTCCAGTTTATTTGATTTGGCAAGTTTAGTCTAGCTTGTATTTAACGTTTGTTACTTAATATTACGACAACATTGTGACGTATTAAGTAATTGGGTTTTTGATTTTACGAGCTATCTTGATATAGTTTTGCAAAGTTATACTTAAACATATTTTTGTATGTGATTAAAGCTTGCATCAACATCGTGGATCATATATTCAGTTTAAAAAATTCTTAATTGAAATTTAAATTGTTTTCATTATTAGGAGAATATTGTAATGAGATATTATACAAAAGGGAAAATGAATATTTACTTTCATGTACCTTACTTTATATCTTCTGGCTAGCTTAGGATATCACTGACTAAGTGTGAGGAGACTAAACAGAGCTGGTGCGATGGGCATTATAATAGGTCTTTATAATAGGTCTTTCTTTGGTGAGTATGGCGGATGAGGGAGAGCTTCCAACCCCAGCTCTTGCAGCTTGGAGACTGTCTGTTGCGCAGTATGGGGTCGCGCGTTGTCGTGAAGGAGCAGTGGGGACGACCGATTGACCAAAGCTGGTAGCAGATGTGACCACCAGACCTTGTACCTACCGACTATTACTTTTCCAAAATTTAGACAACTTTTTAGTGGGTAAAAAATTCAATTCCCGAGAGGCAGTACAAAATGCCTTTGAAGAGTTTGTTGCCTCCCGTCCAGCTGATTTTTACAAGAAGGGCATCAATAAACTGCCAATGCGTTGACAAAGATGCGTCGATTGCATGGGTGATTACTTCGAATAACAGAAATAAAAAAGTTTGAAAAAATAAGTACTTTCACTTATTGCATACAAAACGGCAATTTCATAGGTAAAGACCTAATATAATAGTAGTTTATTTCAGAGACTGATCCACATATATTAAAACAAAGATACACATGCGTAGATATTCTTTTCATATAGATTTTACTCGTATACAGTAGAAGTTAACGAAGATAAGTTTAATAAACATACACGTTTCCTTACACGCATGCTGAATAACAATCGCCAACCTTTGCAACAGGAACGACTCTGAGCGGGAGTCGTCACTCATTTCCTTTAACCTGCGCCCTACTCCGTGAATATTCTTTGCGTCTGTACCCCCAACTACCCAAGGTATCCACTGCTATAGGCATGGAATGATAATTATTAATTAATCACCACATAAACAGTCTTCAATAATCGACTGCTGGAGATAGACCTCGCCTTAAAAATAAGGTTTTGGCCTAATATACTATGCTGGCCAGACAGATTGGTATAGGGTTTGTTTCAAGTTTTCCTTCTATTTGCAGTGCTGTTGTCTTGCGTATTTTGCTCCTTTAGTCGGCTCGGCGGATGAATAGGGTTGTTGACAATGTTAAGATAAGATACGTTCTTAATCCGTCACCACATGGATTTCATTAATTATTTCTTCTAATCATCTTATTCAAGTGCCCACTTCATTCCGAAGATTGGCAATCTTTTTTTAAATACTGCCAATCTAAAAAATAATCATAATACTTAGTATTAATTGTTTGCTAGATTTACTCGACGATGACATTCGCGACGATACAGCTTGTGCTGTGAAAATTTATCACCAAGAAGGTTTCAAATACTGGACGGTGTGGACTACGAGGTGCAAGAATGATAACTTCATCACCAATGAGATTTATAAGTAAGTTATAATTTACTACTAAAAATTCAGTTTTCATTTTATATATATATATATATATATATATATATATATATATATATATATATGGGAGCCAACGAGCAGACGGGTCACCTGATGATAAGCAACTACCGCCGCCCATGGACACCTACAACTCAAAAGTCACAAGTGCGTTGCTGCCCTTGGAGTCCCTCGAGTCAGCGGGAGTGGGGATTTGGGCTTTAGTAACCTCACTCACTCAGTGAAAGGCAACGAAAGAATTGCTTAACACAGGTTTTCTGTGAGTCCGAGGTATCACTCCGGTCGAGCCGCCCATTTGTGCCGAAGCATGGCTCTCCCACGGTAACCTCACAACTCACACATCTCACTCATGGCAGTCTGATCTCAAACTAAGCAGAGCCTGTACTATGGTAACCAGACTGCTATTAAACATACTTATATATTTCTTAATACATACATATTATAGGCAAATCACACCCAGACAGAACAAATGATCGTGCTGATCATACAATTATTTGTCCTGGATGGGAGTCAAACCCATACCTCTGGCTTAGCAGTCAGGATCACTAACAACTAGATTAACAGGTCAGTCAATTATTAAATATTTATAATTTGAGAATTAACGCAACGAAGAGTTACTGCAAAACACAACTTTGGTCCTGAGTCACGGTGACCGAGTTCGGCGTTGCGATTGGTGAAGATTTTAGTGCGAGCCAATCGCCTGCTTAGTTTGGGACTGGATGCGTTGGGTGAATGTGGTAGAATATTATTATTATTATTCCTAAAATACATGGATATAGAACACAATTTGTCAACACGTCAAAGCCTTTTATATCTTTATTTACTTTAGCACAAAGGGATGCAAATTGAATTAAAACATTTATGCTTTGATACAATTTTAAAGAAGAAGAATTAAACAAATACTGTTATTTCTAAATTACAAAAATATTAATTAATGTTGGGTTTAAATATTGAATTACTTATTTAAACATAAAGCAAAGGACACACTTGTACTGTTGTTTACAGTGTCCAGTCTTTCCGTGTTAGCGATAACGCTTTTTTTTGCCTTGATTCTTCTTTCTTACCTACAATTTTACCAATCATTTTACTCGTAATTTTCTCATCTCTAATTGAAAGTTGACGGCGTGCCAATATTACATGTGTCACTAAATTATAGTAAAAGAAAATAGTTGGTTAATTCGCTTTTGCTGCTTCAGCGATGCGTGTACGTAACAAAAAAAAGTATTAATAATCGAAAAAAACATGAATAACAAGTCACTGACAGAATGACGTAACCTTCCTCTAAGAAAGACGGCTTAGGAATACTTAAATACATTATACCATAAAAATCCACTATTTAGTTACAACTATTCCATGGCACTTTCCCTTGACGTGTGAGTAAGGGCCGACCCTTTCTTATTTGTTCAGGCCACGATTTAGGACGAGTTTATTTCCATAAAAGGTTAACCGGTCCTTTTTCCAAGCTTATGGAAATGTAATCTTAAAATCGGTTTTTCTTCGATTTTGTACCAATAAGATATTATGAAAATAGTCTCCAAAATGACAAAGATACTGAATTAATTTTACGGATTGATTTTATTCTTGGATAAGATTCGTATGAATATCCGTTATCTGATTCTGTAATCTGATGTAAGATTTCTCCATTGATTTTATTAAATTTAATGACTTGATAATCGCACACAATAGTATAATCTGCATGCAACACATGATCTTGATTTTTTTCTGTTCTTTTCCCGATTTCATCCCTCAATTTGCCCCTCAACGTTACAATGGATTTGGCTGGTTTCTTATATGGTCAGTCGTTAACTTGATTTCATCATTCCTTGGTAAAGTAATCGTTTACAGACAAAAGAAACAAATTAATAAATAGGGTAAGAAAACGAGAGTAAAAAATACCGCAAGTCTTAGATTGGACACGGCAACACTATAGTTAGTTCGAAGAAACCGGGGTTGTGTATTAATTGGCTATTCAGAAATATAGCTTTTTGTATACAAATAAAAGGGTATACCAACTAAATTCAACTGAATTTGACAAGTATAGGTCACTTCCCTTCGCGGCACCGTGCGACTAACGTGTGACTTCATGTGCTAACAATTTAAATATTGTTTTCTGTTTTTTCTGCGACTAGTTTTCGGCTTGCGGGCGGCTAAAGGTTGTATATAGTGTTTTAAAGAAAGTCAGTAAGTTTTTATTGTTTTTAAACAGTAATATAGTGCTGAATTATTTTATTACGACTATTGGTGAGTAAATTTATTTTCTTTCTAAAAGTGGGTAGGAGGTATCCTTTGTTTATATTGATTTTTCTCTGCGTGTTATTTATTTTTTAAACCTGTTCCTTTTGAAATTGTTGTTTGGTGTGTCTTTGTTTGGCTATGTCGGTCGTTAGCGAGTTGCCGGACCCCGGCGGTACAAATGAATTTCTAACACCAACCGGGAAAAGGACATTTATCGAAATGTCACCTACGGGTTTCTCGCCGAAAGACAGTAGCCGTAGGCGCGTTATTAATTCGGACTTAAGTGATAATGTTTCGTCTCCTACCGGTCGTGATAACTGTGGGGAGTACAACTACTGTGACTTAGTATCACAGGCCACTGATTATATGGCAAAAATTAATGAATTAGTTAATGTTCAGGGATCTCGGATGAATGTAGGTAATAAAACGGCGATTATGGATATTACTCAACGAATTACCGGTATCGTATCTTTGTTAGCAATAAAATCCTCTAGCAACGAAACGAAGTTAGCGAATTTTGAGCGACAAATGGAGGGTATCGCAACTCAACAAACGAGTTTAACGTACGCGGACAAACTTAAGCTTCGATTACCACCTAAATCTGCTCCGTGCCCGGTACCTACTGAAGCGCGCGTTCCTAGGCCTTGTGTCATTGCCTATCCCACTACGGAACGCTTAGCGGACTATGCGACCTCGTCAGCAACAAAACAAGCTCTCATGAAGGCTATTAAACCGAGCGATGAGGGATTTCAAATGTAGGCGTTAAAAAAAACTCTAAGGCAGGCGTCGTGTTACGTGTAGCTAACGAACGGCAGCTTAAGAAACTGGAATCTGTGGACGCCATTAAATCAGTAGGGTTGCGCTTAGAAAAACCGAAAGGCCGTAGGCCCCGTATAATTGTAAAAGACGTACCCGGTTCTATGGAAGATCGTGCCTTCCTAACAGCCTTATACCGTCAGAATATCAAGGACGAATTCAAATTAAGTGAGAACGATTTTATTAAGTCAACCAAAATTGTTAGGCATCGTAAACTAGAAAATGGGCGTCAATGGGTAGGCTTAGAATTAGAGGCAGCAGTTCGGAAACATCTAGCCAACACAAAAGATAAACTTTATATAGACTGGGCCACATGTAGATTCATAGGCGATATAGAAGTAGTTCGTTGCTTAAATTGTCAGCAATTCGGTCATGTACAAAATTTTTGCACCATTAAAACCCCTACTTGTGCTAATTGCGCCGCCGCACACGAAACGCGAGCTTGTCCAGATAAAGACACACCAGATTTTAAGCCCACATGCGCACAGTGTAAGCGGTTCAAAAAACCATCTGACCATCGATGCGGCTCATACGACTGTGCCACATACAAATTAAAACTGGAACAGCTAATATTAAATACCAATTACTGAATAGTTTAACTTAGTTTAAAAAAAAAAAAAAAAAAAAAGTTTAAAGAGTAACTTACTAAGTAATGAATAATATTTCGATAGGCCAGTTAAATCTTCATAACGATAAAATAGCTACATCAGAATTAGACCGTTTAATTTTAGAACAAAAGTTAGACATTGTCCTTTTACAAGAACAATATCAGAGCGCTCACTTGCGTCGTAATGTAGTACAGCTTGACTGCCGTTCGCAGGCTGGGATATATGTTGCAAGTTCTAATTTTACGGTAACATCTTTGCGTAATCTTATGACGTCACACTGCGCCGTTGCTGAGATCTCATCCTCTACCTGTAAGGTTTACGTAGTGAGCTGCTATTTTCAATATTCACATCCTATTGATCCTCACTTACATCACTTACGTTACGTCTTGCAGTTCCTCGTGGGACATAAAATTATCATTGGCGCTGACGTCAATGCGTCATCTTCATTATGGTATGGCAAGTTGCGTTCAACCGACACGGTTCGACGTTGTGCGGTTGAAGATTTCATTGCGGAAATGAATCTTATTATTCACAATACCCCCGATGCACCACCAACTTTTTGCAACCCAATGGGTGAGTCTTCTATTGACGTGACGCTTACGCGCGGCGACGTCTCGATATCCGGATGGCGTGTCCTTCCGGACGCATCCTGTAGTGATCACCGCTTGATCGTGTACGAATTCATACCAAGGGTTGCACAGGATCCACAAAAGGCTCCCTATAATTTTAGATATAAAACTAAAGGTGCGAACTGGGCTTTGTTTGGTTCACTCTTTGCAACTCATACCAAAGACTTCAGTCGCAGTAGTTTATCAGCTGAGGAAAGCGCAGAAATACTATCAGAAACTTTTACATACTGCGCTGATGTAACTATTGGTCGCGGATCTATCACTAACACTCGTAGATGTGATTGGTGGAATGATAGATTAGCCGAACTACGTAGAAGCTACCGGAAAGCTCGTAGAAAATTAAACACTATTAAAAAACGTAACGTAACAGGAGATTTGTACAACAATGCTCTCATTGCTCTTAGAGTTGCCAGGTCCCACTACAGAGCTGCTGTGGAAAAATCCAAGAGAAACTTAATTCAGAAACTTGTTGATAAACTCGATAGAGAGGGCCCGTGGTCACCTTTGTATCACGAATTTAAGGCAAATAGATCAATCGACCTTGCATACATACAGAACATCAAAATTAATAACAGATATACCACAGGAGTAGAACAAACAGCAGAATATCTTTTAGACTCACTCGTACCTGACGATCGACCGGAGAACGACACTGATCATCACCGACAGATCAGGCAGTGGGCCATCGAACCACCACTATCTCCAATGTCTGATTTACCATCTTCAGACGAATTTCTCGGTATCATTAGATCCTTGCCGCTAAACAAAGCTTCGGGCGATGATAAAATATCTAACAAAATGATAAAAGAAGCTTGTAAACTTTCGGGTGACACGATTTTCACTGTCTTTAAACGTTGCATTGCTGAAGGAATATTTCCTCGTATTTGGCGTTGCGGTAATATTCGTATAATACCAAAAAGTGGCGACAAGCCACCGGATGATCCTAAATCCTACCGACCAATCACATTGTTACCATCGTTAGGAAAGCTTTTAGAACGTCTTGTAGTGCCCCGGCTTCTGCCAGGTAGGGTCAAATTTCATGATAGACAATTTGGATTTACGTTGGGTAAATCGACAATTGACGCTGTTATATCGGTTAGAAAGTTTGTCACAGGGTCAAAATTTCAATACGTGCTGGCTATTTTCTTAGATATATCTGGCGCCTTCGACAACGCATGGTGGCCCATGCTGTTGCTGAAATTAAAATCACGGGGGTGCTTTAAAAATATTTATTCCCTTATCTCTTCGTACTTTTCACAAGGTACAACTAAACTAAGACTTGGTCATCATTCTGTGTCGAAGGCGCTTACAATGGGATGTCCTCAGGGATCGGTGCTAGGTCCATACTTGTGGAATATCGGCTTCGACGATTTTCTTGCGATACCAATACCATCCGGATGTACTCTGAACGCGTATGCTGATGACGGCTTATTACTGGTGGAATCTGATACTAGGGCGGGGCTTGAGAGATTAGCCAATAGATGTTTGAACTTAATATCTCAATGGGGTGAACGTAATCGCTTAACTTTTGCACCCAACAAAACCTTCCAGCTACTTTTAAAAGGTAACCTGGTGATTTGAGGTTACCTTTTAAAAGTAGCTGGAAGGTTTTGTTGGGTGATTAGATTTGACAATGTTACTGTAAAAAATAAAACCACAGTGTGTTATCTAGGATTAGTTTTAGAAAGAAACTTTTCATTTATCGAACATATTAAAATAGTTAATGAAAAGTCTAAAAAGAGTTTCTGTGCATTGACAAGGATATCAACTGCGACATGGGGTCTATCATTTAATACATTAAAGATCATATACGGAGCTACTTATTTAGGTTCTATGTGCTATGGTGCACCTGTATGGGCCGATAGGGCGACCGTAGGCGCTGTCCGTCGCAAACTGTTACAAGGCCAACGACTTGCACTGATATTCTTGTGTAAGGCATATAGGACGGTTAGCACTGAGGCTTTGCCGGTGTTGGCGGGTGTGCTTCCGGTCGATCTCGAGGTGCAGAGACGTGCAGCCATGTACTATTCAAGACAACAAAACATGGAATGCGATTTTTTGGGCGCGCGGGATCGCGGTAAAATTACAAGATTGCTTCAACAGCAGCCCGATGTCTATAATGACCTCATAGACGAATGGCAACAACGCTGGGATGAATCATCCAAGGGGCGCCATCTTTACCAATTCTTTCCATCTGTTCGCGAACGGTTGTCGAGGATATGGCTTGAGGTGGATCACTGTGTCGCTCAATTTCTTACGGGTCATGGTAACTTTAAGAGCAAGCTTTATTCATTTAAATTAGTCGAGTCACCATTGTGTCAATGCTCAACACCTAACTCTCACTATGAACAGTCTGCTCATCATATCCTCTGGGAATGTAGTCTTTGGTATAATGAACGTAATATAATGTTGAATAGCTTGCAGGTGACATCTGGGGCGGTATACTATGGGGAACTTGTGTCAACTAGGGTGAATTTCCGTGCGTTTAGGCGATTCTGCCATACATATTATAGAAATCAAACATAGCTCACGTAGGACCCGTAATATTTGTGGCCGTAGTGCTTCCCTGTTTAAAAGGGTGTATGCCCTTTTTACTTCATTTTGTCTCCCGCTTTGCTAAGGAGGGAAGTGGATTTACTGTATTTCCAACTCCTCCAATTTTCTTCTGATTAATTTCGTTGCGGGTTCCAAGACAGTTTAATTTCTTCCTGGGACTTCCCGAGTGTCATAACTCGGTGTGTTCGTGGGTCTCTGCTGTGGATCCTGGTGTACAGGAGTTACAGCGGTGGGCGTGTGGGTGGGATTAGTCCCAAGTATAGGTGCTCTGAATGCCCTAAATATGTTTAATTGAGATTTTTTTTGCGTTTATTCACTCCGATGGTAAAGTCTTCCTATTTATTAAACACCTAAAAATATCTGAAATTGACTCAGTATACAATGTTATAGTTATAAAGGAATATTGGATCCGAAAACCGAAGACTCCGTTGCAAGACTTGCATCTTTTTATATTTTTAATGGGATTAGAATATTAATAAATATGTACAATGTTATTGGCAATCAACTCAATCTAGTGTTACGATTACTTTAACACAATATGTTTTATGTAATTTAAATGTTAACAATTATAGCAAAACTCACATCACGACGAGTAAGAAAGGTTCAGAAAGGTTAACCTTAAATTTTTACCGAGCCTTTTTCTTAAAGTAGTTTCTTGTCGGCTTTAAGTCGATTACGATACGGATAAACTTTGATTTTTCGAGCAACTGCCATCAAACCTCCACAACCCAAGTACTAGGCGATATCGAAGTTTTGTAGAAAGACTGTTGTTGGAATTTTTAGGGCTCCAACTGCCTGTAACGTATGACATGTAACTAGATGTTCGTATGGCAACCGAGATCGACGGCTTAATAGAAGACTATAAAACAACATTTTATGGTGTTCACGGCGGTAACAGACCTGTTTTATGCAATAGGAATTACGAATATATTAGATATTATCTAGTACCATCATAGGTACAATTAGAGTTTCCCACGTGTCAACACCTACACTAAATAATACTATGATTACATTAGTATATATCATCCTTATCATGGTGATATATATTTATATTTATCATCATGATGAGGATTAGGACTCAAGCATATATCCCCAAAGGCGTATTAAACGTAAACGTCACTACAAATTTAATGTCACTCGTTATAGAAGACAAACCTACTACCGTCAAACGAGCACGTTAGGTATTACATGGGAAAATTACGAGTTCAATTGAAAGGAAAATTTGGTAAGAAGGCGAGGCAATGGTAGAAAATTAATATTGCTTTTACGACGGATTGGCGAGTATGAGTAAGCAATAACTGGAGTAAGTTAGAGTCGCATGAACTGAACCTGAATATGTACTTGAAATGGCGAGGAAGTCCTGTCCCTCTAACGGGTTGTTAGGGTCCGTATCCCGTGGGTGTGCAAGAGCCGACGCAGGGAACAAAGAGGACACTAGCACTGCAAAGAAAAAGAAAAAATTGACATAAACCGTAGTAACCCATCTGGCCAGAATGGCATAGTAGGCCAAAACCGACTAACCAAGGAGAGGCATATGTCCAGCAGTGGACTTCTAAAGGCTGTTGACGATGATGATTGCTAGGGTTTTACCATATATTTGATTATCAACCAGTTTTGCGTTATACTTTAATTTCTTATGTATTTTTTGCGTTTTGCAGATGCCCTGATTTACGGTTTAGTTTAGACCGCAGCTCACCAGTCAACACTCAACCACAAAATCGTCATGGGATTCATAAACGTTCCGAAAATTCATCCCTTCATTCAATTCTAAAACGTAGCATTCTGCAGGCTCTTCAAAGTCACCGGGTTGAAGAACAGTCTAGACACATTAATTAAATTGAAGTGTTTGCCGTCGTTTAAAATAAATACGTGTTGTATACAGATGCTTGTTGATTTATTTGTTTGTTTGCATAACACTTGTAAACAGCTCTTGTAAGCGCTAAATCTGAACAAGCATTGCGTGGAAAATTGATTACATTGGGAGCTTTGAACTTTGAAGAAGATATGCAGCAGCAAATATCGTAACTTTATTTTAAATTTGAAACAGGAATTAGAGTAGGTTTCCTTTTAGGGCGGTTGATCGAGTTACAATAATCATGTCACGGGTGAAACCAATTAGAAGCTAAAAGTTAATCCTCATTACCAAATTTAATACAAATATAACGAAGGGAGTAGAAAATAGTAATTACATATTTCTTCTTTTTAACCGACAACTATCTATTTATCAACTTAGTTAATGACCCAAAATAGGAAATGTAGCCTTATTTTGTACTACGTTTTACTAGAGTTGTTGCTTTCTTCTTTTGATTAAGGATACTAAGAATCCAAGATAGGGTGGCAAATAAAACTTTAAAAATAAGGGTAATAAATTTTTCTTTAAGGGTTCATTTTCTTGAGAAAATTAAAAAAATAATCTCGACGTAATGTCTCCCGATAAGTCCCTTAAAATGTTTAAAAACTGCTAAAGTCAGCCAAGAATAAACGAAATTATGTACGGAAATATTAGTTTTACTTAGGAACTTTAATTTAGAGTAATTATAGTACGTTGGAATGGGAAAAACAGTGTAAATAGTAATTTCTTGGCATTCTATTAAATCGTTTAAGAGCTAATTAAAACTCCCTTCTCGAATACTCTAACTTCGAATTACGTGCAGAAGTACAAGATATATTTTTTAAATTAACAGGAGGTTGTTTAATTAAGTTTTGTAAGTTTATTGTTCAATTTTATTTGCAAACTAAATTTTACAATTTTTTGTGCATAAAGTACAACATTATGATGTTAATGCCAAAGACCTTTTTTTTTTCTAGTCTTCGTAACGTCCTAACACTTAGTCATTTATTTATGCACCATAAAAGATTGATAAGATCAGGGCTTCCCAAAGTGGTCGAATCGGTCTCCTAAAGGGTCGACATAAACGAAAACAGATATTAGGGGTCGCCGAGGTCTAAAAATTCTATTAATTAACACAAGTTCTTATTTGAAACTTTCAAGATACTGTATAAGTTGTGTTACGTAGTATCAACGTGTACCAAGTTGTTATAAGACTGGCTTACCTATATGTGAATTTATTATGTTAAATTTTGATGAGTAAATGATGTCAAGTTTACTCACATAACAAACGGCAAAGTTTTCAAACTGGCAAATGTTTTATATCAATAGGAAAAAAACTAGAGATAGGATTTTTAAAGTAATTTGGCTGTGGGGGCCTGAGGTATCTGTTCATGGTCTTTTGTCCATGCAGTTTGCCTTTGCAGTTTGGGAATCCCTAGACTAGATGAGAGATTAGAAAAAGACACATGAATATTACATGTCTACACTCACGCCTAAATTCCGGCCTTAAAGGCAGAGACGATAGGACACAATTTCCTACAGTTCACGCCTTCTTCAAATTTATCAAGCCTTCCATTCACGCAAGGGGGTTCCGGGAGCTTCGAGGCCTTCTTCAGTACACCGACGATTATGTTTTGCAGGGCCTAAACACACCGGCTTCCTCATTCAATTTTACCCAGACTTTTCTTTAGCTTTTTGTTAGATGATGATTTAGTTAACATTTCGATGGCGATTTATAAAATATACTTAATTTAAAAATCAACTTAAAATCCCACTATTTAAAAAAAAAGGAAGAAGAAATCAAGTTAGAGCTTATAATTTATAATTCTCATTTTTTTAACATCTTAAACGTAAATTAATTACAACTATTGTTGTGTAAAACGATTATATTATTGATTAAAATTAAATGTCGAAGCGCATCCATCATAATTTAAAAATGGCGCTAAAAGGGGTCTGTGATGATGATTTTGCGCACACAATTTTTTTAACAATTTAACTTTTAAAGTATGTTTCATAATAATTATTTTTTAAATAAAAACTAAGCACCGTGTATGTAATTATGTACCGATACAGTACAATCAACACAATCCCATACTGAGGGATTAGAATCTTTTGAATTGCCTGATGCCGATTGGGCTGTGATCACTAGTTGAGACAGCTTAGTCAGCTTTTGCATACAACCCTACATTATTATATATCATAGGACTTGGAAATTATTTAATAAAGTGCCGTAACTTAACAATTTTCTTATTAATGTCCCAATAAAGCTGCCAACCGATTTTAGATCTTATAATAGTTACGAGTATAATAAAACAGAAAACATTTTTCTCTAAAAGCTCCTATTCATTTTGGTCTATTATCTACCAAGCGACATAATTATATATAAACGGATTAACTCTTTTAAGCAAAGATTTACCGTCTTTATCTTAAGAAATCTGTTAAAAAGAGAAGAAAGAACAGAACAAAGACGTTTTCGTTTATAATCTGTGTAATTATTGCTATAAAACTTGAATGCAGAAGGTGCGGAACACAGATGTGGATGTTAGTCGCTCCAGTGCTTTCTTGTGCAATCCAAAGGAAAATTTCAACGCTATTCTGAATAAAGATTTCTAACAGGTTATTTTAAATAATGATTATACGTACATTGTTATGCTCAGCTGTTGCTGGAATCTGTTTGTGTACTGTTCTGTAACAATGTATTATGTGTGTCGTCAACTCTCAATATTTTTTTCAAATTAATATATTTTATAGCTATTCAGGCTATTACAATTGCTGTTTACATAGTTTTATCAGTTAAAGAATAAACATTTTTTTTAATTAAAATATCACATTTCATTAGGTACCTTTAAATTTAATTACTCTAGTTATAATTAAAGTTCACAAACATACATAGTAAGTAAAGCCTCTTTATTTCCTTAATACTAACAAACTTCCTTAAAACAACATTGTTCAATTATTAAGTATACAATGATATTATACTTTTTAACTTTAAGTGGTTTAAAACTAAAAGTATTATATAAATTTGATTTTGTTTAGATTATTCTTAAATTATTACAAATATATTGAAATTATTTTTAAATATTTATTAATTAAGGACCTCTCATCGAGTAAAGGCCTCCTCCAATTTTCTCCAATACTCTCTATCTTTTGCTTTAGTAAACCAGTCTATGCCGGTCACCTTCTTTATCTCATCTATCCATCTCTCTTGTGGTCTTCCTTTGCTTCTCTTACCGAATGGTCCAGTCCAAACAGTAACTTTTTTAGTCCATTTTTGTTTGTTCATACGTGCTATATGGCCAGCCCATTTCCACTTCTGTTTTTTACAATATTTTAAGGCATCTATGACATTTGTCGTTTTTCTTATATCCGTACATTTTTTCTTGTCTTTTCTTTTTATGCCTAAAATGCTGCGTTCCATTGACCTTTGACATACTTGAAGTTTATTTTCCGTTTGCCTATTATTCTTTCATAATCTAGAAAGAATAATCAGGAAAAAGAATTTAGTTTTCTTTGGTATAATGGAAAACGAAAAAAGTTACAATGATTTGCAACAATTAATACTTAATGTCATAAACGAAAAGATGGGATTGAACTATAATACGACCAACATAGAAGAAGTAAAACGACTGGGCAAGCAACGAGAGGACGGAAAGCTTAGACCGGTGGCTGTAACTCTGAGTACGGTGGGGATGAGGGTTGAACTTCTGAAAAACAAGAAAAAGCTTAAAGATACACTATATTATATTAAAGAAGACTTTCCTCCCGATATATTAGAAGAGCGAAAACAACTGAAAAGACAAACATACATATACAGCCTTTAATAGTCCACTACTGGACATAGGTCTCTCCGTAGAAAACAGGTTTTGGCCTACTATACCACGCTGGCCAGACGAGTTGGTATAGGGTTTGTGTTAAGTTGTCCTTTTCGTTGTTCTTCGTAGTTTTCTCCCTTAGTCGGCTCTTATGACAACCACGGGATGAATAGGGATAGCGACAGACATTCTTAATCCGTCATCATACGCAAAAGTAATAACTGTAAATACGATAAAAAAATCAGTGTGACTTATCAAACACCCGGTCAATGCTGTGGTAGATTAGGAATGTTGCGTCTCTTAGAAGGTACTTCCATGATCTTTATTTTATTCGATTTCGTGTTAATGTTAATTCCTATAAAAACCCATTTGCTAAAACTATTTTGTTACTATCTAAAACCAACTAAAGTCACTTTTGCAGTCCAAATTTATTCGAAATAGTCGTCGTCGTATTATAATCTAGAAATTTTACTCTTTTAAGTTTTAAAGAAAAAATTAGAAAAAACATAAATAATAGTAATTTAGACAGGCCTGTTAATTCAGTGGTCAGTGATATTGACTGCTTAGCGAAATGTCGTGGAATCGATTTTTTCCAAGGACAATTGTGTGATTTGTTTGTTCTATGTCTATGTGTTATACATGGCTATGTGTGAGTGTCTTAAGATAATGTTCACATGTATGTAGCTAATGTTGTAACAATATACAGCACTGAGAAATAAACGACAGAAGTAACTATGTATTTCACAATATTTTATTAACTTTTGCAAGCAGCGGCCTCAAGAGGAGAGTAAGTCCCTCTGAACTCAATGGTTTGGCTGTATGGGTTCACAGGGACTTACTTCTTTTCAAAGTACACTAGTGTCTTGTAACACCGGAACACGACTTCACCATGAGCTCCTGCAAAAAAGGACCGTCATTGGGACGAGTGCGAGTGTATAAAATTGAATCTTAAATTACCCAAAAAATACAATAATAAGTTTGAAATAACAATGCGTGCACATTAATAATCAGATGGTATTAACGATATAATTAATAACTTGCATGATAATGAGGCCATTAATTATTGTATGTCATTGCAGGCTTATCTTCGATCGCTCATTACTAGTATGTAGTATGGAGAACATTTGTAATAGGACTAGACAGTATGTTTAAAAATTTTCTCCCCCGTCTACTTCGAATTTGGAGAATCTCAA